CTATGTATGTATGTATTTATTTATTTATTTATTATTGTGTGTGTGTGTGTGTGTGTGTGTGTGGCTGACGGTATGGGGATTCGAACCCTTGACCTTGGTGGTGTCAGCACCACTACTTTCCTGGTCTTGATGCATACGTGGTTTGAGTCCACTGTAGTCTGTCGAGTGAGTGAGGTTAGAAGAATACCTTGTCTGGCCACAGCCTTTCATTGTAGCCAAAGATGCTAAGTTTCATGGACTGTGATACTAATCTGTCCCAAACTAGCCATTTAAATGTGTAATGACATTAACATTAAATTAAAGGTTAAATGAACTTTTAATTTACGTCTACCCACATATATCATTTTATTAAATAAATGCTTTTAGGAAGAGAATGAAAATGAAAGAAAAAATTTATTCCACAACTATGCAAAGAGCTTTTCATACCTTTTTTTTTTTAACGTTATTCTCTCAACAATCCTGTGATGAGCTGCTGCTGCCCAGGAAAAACAATTGACTTGGCCAAGATCATAATAGCTAGTAAGTGCTAGAACTAGAATTTTAATGCAGAAAGTCTGACTTCAGAGATTTTACTATTATCCAATACACTGCCTGAAAATAATTATTCGGTTGACATTAATATGTTTTAAAACATTCAATAAACAAAAATAAAGGAAAACAACCATTACATGGACTTTTACAAAAACACAGATGGGAGTTAGCCTGATGTCCCTTGGTGAAAATTTGTGTAATGAATCCATGTTTAATCTGCACATTTTAATCCTCCTCCTAATGCGGCATCACTCCTCAATCTAGGGTTAGAAAATAAGGACTGAGATAACGCAACCCCCTTTCTTTTTTGAGAAGAGAATGAAATAGGAAAAACTTAAGACATTTGCCATCAGCTACATTTTGCTTTTTTAATCCAATAAACTTGAGAGTAGTCACATAATCAGTGGTGTTTTATTTCTCTACTAAATTCTTCTTATTGGAAAAGCACTTGTGAGAAGTAATAAGAAATGACGTATCTGTAGAGAGAGTTCAGAATTCTAGGACACTACCCATTTCTGTAAGCCACAGCCTTTTGCCAGGAACCAGAGGCAGTTTCTCAGTGGTCTGTGCTGTTTGCTCCACTTTCATGAGATTTGTGAGGCTATCTCCAAAGACAGGTCTATCTGATGCCTGTCTTTCCCATCATGGCTTAGCTGTCGCTCAAGTGGATGCCTTCAAGAAGAAGAAGCATTACACAAATGCTTGCTCGATTCAATTAAAATGAGTAAACGACCCAGTGAAGTAACACGAGCAGACATTGTAGAACCTGAGTAATTCTTAAACACATCTTACCACAGCTGTGAACACTAAGCCTTAAGAGCTTATTCCTCCTTCATTATTTACTAGATGACATATAACAGAATATTTAATATCTTGTTAATGTTAATTGATGTTGTGCAAAACTTGATGTGAGCATAGGAAAGAGTTTACCGTATATACACAATGTTATTTATTCTGTTTTTTATTCTGTTGTTCCAGAGGGGACAAAGAGATGCTTTGGAAACAAACTAGGGATACATATTT